TTCGGGAAAGAACATGCAATATGACTGTGGGTCTCATGTCAACAAGTGTGTGTCACTTTTTTGTTTGATGTAAACAAACCAATAGAGGGCGCGATTTATATGATTGCGAGAGCACAATGTGGAATTTCCATGTGAAATTTGCGCAATGCATTGTTTGTAATAAAGTCCATTGAAATGCGTCTCAGCTAATCAAAATACCTATTTTTCCTCCGATTTATGATTTACGGGATGCAACATCTATGCACGGTAATATCCGAGAATGAAATGCGACCAAGGTTCTATAGCATTAATTGGAGTTACGTTCAATTCAAATGAAGAATCAGTAGTCAAAAACTAGAATAGTGACACGCGTATAACTGTTGTGGTATTAAAATAATGTTGCAATCAATGACGTTGTTCAAGTAGTAATTTTTCTCTTCAAATTATTAAAAAAATCACCGAAAAGTCGCATCACAGTATTTAAACTCAGTTGGGATTAAAATGAACAACTTTAAGAAATGTTATTTCTCGTGAATACAATGTACTGATTACGGAACTTAATTTCAAACTCAGCAAATTGATGCAAATTAGCTTTGTTTTGGCGCCTTATTTTCAACTTAAACGTTACTGCAAGAAATACACACGGACACACATGATTACTGAAACTTGTATAGCTTGCGCTTATTATCTGACGCATGCGCATACAGTTGCGCGTGTTGATCATGATAGTACTTTGTAGTTTATTTGCGTTTCATCAACGCGTCGTGTACGAATTCTTTATTTTGTACTTTAGGGTTTAAAACTTTGGAGATTACTGGTAATTGTGCACGTAATTTTCTGTCGTATAATAATTGTGCTGGTGTTTGTAGTCCATCACCACGTGGACTATCACGATATACGAACAAAGCTTTTTTGAGAATGTTGTCTGAATGGTTCTTTCCGCTAAACCTTTTGACCGGATAACGTGAACTGGATGTTTTATGGCTAAATCCCTATTTATTAGCAAAATGTCGGAAATCTTTGCTAATGTATTGTGGGCCATTTTCCGTCAGTAGTTTCTAGGGGATGCCATGGCGAGCAAATATTTTCTTAAAGCGTGGTGGTCGTCGCGCAGCGCGTGTTCGAATTTAATGTAAATAAACAATGTATTTTACACGCGCTGTATACGTCGCTATGAGTCCCATATCGAACAGGACGCGGCACGACGACTGCCGTCCTTTAATGAGTTGAATCACTGTGTGTGATGTGATATCTTCCAGCATTTCAATTTCAAAGTAGCCTGAGTAAATTAAGTGGAGAGGTTGCATCTTATCTTTTTCATCGTCCGCGAAAGTAATTAAAGTTTCATGAAATTAAGTTGAGTGGTCTCTAGCAGTGTGGCGCACTGTAGGGCTCTATCTTTTGCCGACAATCCAATGACGGTTGCTTACTATTCAAAACGCTTTTTCCACTTCTCCCAGTATGAGTTGAGCGCAATATTAGCATCTAGCCTCAGTGGACTCGGGTTTTTTTAGACCTTCCATCTCGTCTACTTAGTTAATAAAAAAAATATCTCGTTTTTAACACCATATAAGAAATACACAAGGACACACGAGATTACTCTTGTACAGCTTGTGTTTATTATCTGACGCATGCGCATACAGATGTAGTTTACCTCACGAAAGTTAATGTAGTGAAACACGAATACATAATATGACAGTTATATGTTTCCAACGTATTTAAATATATTTTAATTATGTATTAAACACGTGTTTTTATAGCGTAAACGCGTAAATACATTTAAAACATAAATGTATTGTATTGTATATCAATATATGATAAGGGAACTTAAAGTGAGGGTGATAAGCATCGAAAATGTCTTAGAAGAAAACATCTACGTTTTTATTTGAATGAAACCACAAGAAATCTGATAAGTAATGTCCAAATAACTTGAATGACTGCAATGACGGGAAAAATAGTAAGGAACAGAACGCAAAACGCTAGAACGCACAGATCGTACTAGCAGAACACTAAATGGTGAATCCCTATAAATCAGGAAAACAACTTGAATCCCTTCTTCATTACTTCATTTCAAAACGTTGAACTCCCAAACAAAACGTGTAACGGGCCAAACTGTATCTAGACATTCAACTTCGATCTATAACATTATTTTGTCAGGGAAAAAAAATATAGTTTACCGAATGCAATCGCGGAACATCGAATATTTACGTCGATGTCAAATGAGTCACTTTGTATTTTAACTGTGTCTACTCGTTAATCAACGCTATAACTTGATCTAATATTTTCTGTCATCGGTGTCTTTCGCTTTTTTTCTTTTTCTCGGCATTGCGTTAGTAAAATGGTGTTAGCAAAATAGAATATTGACTTTAAAAAATAAAACAAAATAAAAAACGATTTAAAATAAAGTTGTGCAAAGTTAAGACCGTGTTTCTCCGACTTGACTCAGGCTATCAGTGATGCTGACAAAGAACGCCGATCGCCGTCAACATAATTATCACTCAGCTTCTGTAAAACTGTTAATTACGCTGGCGACCAAGTTCATCCACGGTTTCCGGAAATAACAGTATCAAATAAAAGATATTTGTGAAACTGTTGGTACCATTTAAAATAAAAAGTGTATATTATTAATGCCGTTACTTATAATGCTATCAGACACCGTGACGTGGTTCATGAACGGAAACGCTTGGGGTGTTCATTTAGGTATACGGCGGGGGAGGGGGACTCCAAATCAGACCTAGTACCCATGCTGAAGTAAGCCTCTAAACACGAATTTATGTTTGTGAAATTATACCCCCTTTCAAGTGCAGAAACTTAAAATAGATACCCTAAATACATACTAAACTCATACTGTTTCCAAGTTGAGGTAATACAAATGTAGTAACAATACCGTTGACGTAATTTATAAAGCGCCAGTATTCAAAACAAGGTAATGTTCAATGGTGCTGTACATAGAGATGATTAGTTGTTAAAGGCTTTCCTAAAAAGATGAGTCTTAAGTTGAGTTTTGAAACTGTTCAATGTTGGTGACTTGCGTAGTTCAAGTGGCAATATGTTCAAAAGCCGTGGCGCAGCACATGAGAAAGAACGTTTGCCGAATGATTCTGATTTAAATAGGTAACATGAATTCATAAGTATGCGCGCCAACTTGAAATTACACTAAATGACACCCCTTTTACACGTTTTTTTTTATTTCAGCTTGCGTACCATATTTTATTCAGAGAATCCCCCTGGATTAGAGGCGGTAACCACAATTTCCTTGCGTTGGTGACAAGACATGTGGATGAAATTAAACGATATCAAGAAAGACATATTACATGCGACAAATAGATGTAGTCTGGAACATGTGTGACACTCGGAGTGCCCTTAATATAGATAGTAAGGAATCTGGCATTAATTCATGTACTGGATACTCTCAGCACAGCACGGGCATCTTTATAAATCTATTGGCCGATTGAATAAAACTGGAACGGGTTCAAATGACGTCGATGTTATAATGCTCGTTGATTGGCTGGTTGGAATTTTATAAATATTTATATAGACGAGGGAAATGCAATTGTTGCGCTGGGAGTATTTGCCATTTTTTCTTCTTTTATCTGTTATTTGTTGTTATTTTATTTGTTGTTTTACGCTTCTTTTTCGTATCATGCATGCATCGGGCGCAAGATATAGAAAAGAACTTTAAGCGACAAATAAAATGAAACAAAACAAAACAAATAAAAATAAATGCCATTCGAATTCAAGGGCAGTGGTCGTCGCGTAGCACGTGTGCAAATTCTATGTAAACAAAGTATAGTTGTGTACAATGCATATCGAACAGGACGCGGCGCGACGCCCACCACCCACCTTTAAAAAAAACGCTTTGGGTTTTATCAGGTTCGGTATGTACTAGTATATATTTTCTATTGATGAAAAGTACTAGTATATCCCGGTATGTTGTAGTCATCGGAGATTGTATTTACTATTTACGTTTTAATATTTATTAATACATTTCGTCTAAATACATGTACTTCAGGTCAATGTGCGATCATTTCGGGTCGAGCAATTCTTTTTATTTTTGCTTCTACTCAGGCACGATTTTTTTCTTGAATGACCTTTGTCATATAAACTGACGGCTCTTCCCGTGTATGCCGTCGTAACGAAATCGTAATCGTACTAGAGCGCCCCAAAAAGTGGCGGTGGATGGCACGTGGGCCTAGGGATGGCACAGATAGGAAATGATGCATGAAATGAAGGGACTGTCAATATTGACCGGTTGTTGACCTCTAATTGGCTTATCCACACACCTCTATATATTCATGACCAGTCTGTGATTTAAATTGTTGTGTCTGTTTCTGTCGGAGCAGCGAACGGCGAACACTAGTTCATGTGGGGGTATTGGTCCTTTTAAGTAAAGATACATGTATATTTTGTAATACTAAAGTGACGTATTTCTTCCACGACCTACAAACCCTTACTTTTAAATCCCAATCTCGGCAGCCCACGTGACTCTGGATTTGTCAATGACGCCTTAGCAGCCCATAAATCATGTCCACTTTCTTGAAGGTTGTGGTAGGTTAATCAAGTTAGTGCACTACTTCAGATAATAAGCTTATACTAGTACGCTACATCCATCCGGCAATGTCAATCATTTCACGCATACATATTGGAGCCTATTTTTTAACTAACCTTATTAGGATGTTAAGCTTTGTTTTGATTACGTCAGTTGCCTAGACCTCCTATTTCCTGACTCTGGGACTCGTAAAACACGCTGAGGTCAGACTATAAAGTTCTACTGGTAACTATGTCCGTGATGTTGCCGAGTTTACCGATTCACTTGGGATGGCGGGTCAACGACAATCTGGCCGAAGAACCAATGGAGGAGAATAAAAACTGTTATTGTTCAAAACAAAAACCAGGTATGATTTGCTTTTAGTTTTTTTTTCAGAATTGACCACTGCAATTTTCGGAAGATGGCATTCAGCATTTCCCATTTTACTTCAGCAGGTACGTTCCCATGGAGCTCCATGCTCTGTCGAACTGCGATGGAATCAACGCGCATTGAGTGCAAGCAGTCCTCACTATATGTAGATCCTGTGACAACAGAGAAGATAAGCGTGCAATTGGGTTCTAGCGATGTGTGGAGAAGGTTTAATGACATCGGCACTGAGATGATTGTGTCAAAGATGGGACGGTAAGATCTGATTTCAAGTTAATCATTTGATGGCGACAAAAGTCAAGTATTGAAAAAAAAAATCTGATCCCGATATATCAGCCTGTTGTGGCGCGTATATGGGTGACCCCCCTATCTTCATGGGAATGAGATGTAAGTGGTGAACCATTACTTTCACGGGTAAACCGAATACAACTCGTGGATTAAGAACCTGACTGTAATTATTGTCAATTTATGATTTTGCACCCATGAAGTTTCCATTTTTGGCTCGGAGTTTGGCGCTGCACGTCCTAACTAAACTGTCAACGATTCTTGATACAAATTAATAAACAAGCCGTCCGAACCCCGTTTCACACGCTGATAAGCTGATAAGAACTGCGCAAATCTTTCTTTGTTTATATGTCGGCAGTTTGCATTATTCTAATAATACAGATTCACACATAATGCGCAGTACGGAATAAAGTTGTGGACTTTTTCAACCATGACGTATTGTTATTATAAGTGATTACAATGAAATTGTAGACGACTCTTTGTGATGCCGCCGCCAAGCTGTCAATTGTTTTTTTCTCCGCCAATCAAATATTTTTTGCTGACAATGTTTACAAATCGTACTCGACTTGTTGGCGACATTGTATCAATGATCTAACGCAAATGCCAGGTCAGCAGGTTGTCGTTGACTTTATATCAACATGTTGCTACAAACCCCAGATCCATGTTGTGGATGTAATCGAGTCTACTTCGCCCACATTTGGTTCATCTTACGTCAATGAACTTTGGAAAGCATGTCGAACTGACCACCTATAGAGGGCGCTATTCTGAAATTATCCCAGTTTGATTGTTATATCTTGATTTTTCAGGCGGATGTTTCCTTCATTATGCTTTCAGTTCAGCGGTTTAACACCTAATGACTCGTACTATGTATTTAGTGACGTCATTCACACTGACAAGTATCGCTACAAATTTTCGTACCAATCCTCACAGTGGACTCCGCAGTGTACTCCATTGCCCACAGGTGGCGACACTGCCCTCTGTCGACCGTATCGTGCATATGTACACCCGGACACCCCAGCTTGTGGCCGTTCACTTATGTCAAAGGCTTTGTCGTTCAATAAATTGAAACTTACGAATAATGAACAAGATGACAATGGAGGGGTAAGTGTCAAGCTTATTTCTTTCATTATTTATAAACAAAACTTGCTGATATCGGTGATCTGGTGAGGAATAAATCGTGACGTCATTGTTTGGATCTCATTCTTGACAATGGACGCTGACAGAAAACCACCATTAATGCCTAAAAAATTATTGAATTTAATGTTAATAGCAATGTTCATACTATATATTATTATATTAATTATTTGCAGGTTGTATGAAAATGCATGTTTGTGAAACTTGTTACTAATTTTTTGACCTTGACCTTGACCTCTGACCAAGCTTTTGGGGGTGGTGGTATGGAATATTATTGTCAAATTTTCAAAACTGGACAATAATATTGTGAAGTGATTGTGTATCACGTACTTGAAATTCATGTAAACAATTTTACATGCATTATATTGTATGTCACATGGGACCCATAATTACCATGACAACTTAGTAATTTGAAATAAAGTTAATTTACATATAACTCCACAGAGAGACCAGGAACTATAATAAACTGTATGCCTAGCCAGAGCGAAGAAACCAGTCTTGTGTTCTGTCTGTTCGTTTGTCCATCTGTTTGCATGTGTGTCTGTGTCAACTCTTGTTAGTCCCTGTTCAAATGGGGACAATTTGGTCACAGCTCTTTGGGAGTCATGTTTCAGAATGCTCTGGACCAAATCAGTTCATTCTTTGTATGTGCTCAGTACTTTATGTGGGACATATGCACATTTGGTGGTTTAGTAATTGGATCCAAGATGGCCGACAAGCAACTATTTTTTTTGAACATGCTTTATTGGTTTTTGTTAAAATTTGGTACATACATTATACATGTTAGGATACATGTTTTTGACTATTTGTTTTACTGTTAGGTACAATCGAATCAAAGATTGCTAATTTGCTTATTTGGCCATACTGCTATATTTTTGATACCAATGTACAGTCTCATATTTTTGTCACATTCATTATAATACGCATCTATTGTTGGAATATCTTCTAAAGGTTGTATGAAATGTTCATAGTTAAAAAAAATTAATAAATATAAAAAACAAAAATGTACATAGATCATTTAGGATCACATTAGTGAATCAGATTGCAAATGAATTCATGACTGGCAAGATTTCCTTATGAGATTCATATCAGCTCGTACAGCAGATTACAGCTATGGGTGTGTGTATCAGGTTGAATTTTTACGTATATAAAGAGTCGATAATGGTTTCCATATACTGATGTTCGTGTTTATTTCGAACTACCATAGACCTTTTCTAAGGTCTATGCTATAACAAGGAGGATGAATCAGAGTGTTTTACAAACGATGCTAGCACTGTAGTATATTGTAGACATAATCAGCGTCAATAAGCATCTCATTAATTGTTATTACCGTAAAAACTGTAAAATATGAAATAATACAGTACTGAGTGCACGCATATGCACCTTACATGTTTGAAAAGTGAAAACTAGAAAGCATAATATGTTTATCACACACAGAAATATTGACAAACGCCGCTCAGAAGGGTCAAACGACACAGCGAAAGAGTGTACAATTTGATTTGATGATACTGAGTAAAACCTATATAAAATGCATATTTACCACGCTGGGACCATTAAAACTCTGATAAATACGAGTGTTTCCAACTTCGTACAGTGGTCAATTGCTTCTTTCTGAGCCTCATGGTTCCTCTTCATCAAAGCGGACTGGTACATAACAAACATAATCATAAAGTTCAGATACTTATAACTACGGCCTCTAGAACCCGCCACGAGGAGCTAAGTTCGCTTTACCAACTCCAAATCCCAAGAAAATAGGAATCTATAGCTGTTGTGAACAACGGCACAGTGGTACGAAATTAACGCATCATGATACACACATACAAATAGGTCAATGCAACAATCTCAACTCAAAAAAACAAAAACAAAGAGTTCATGCAAGCGTCAAAACAGAGAGCGGGTAACATACCTCGCACTATGGTAATTCCTGCCAATCAGATGCAACGACTACATCGTGAGTAAACTTTAACTGACGCTCCAAGTTGATTGATATATTCTCAAACATACATTGTTTATCACTTGCTACACGTTCATAATTTGTTCTCATTAAATTGTAAAGTGCCCTAATTTCCTGCTATGAAAACATTTTTAGAAAGAGTATGATAATCATAACAAATAATTTGGTACATGTTGACAATATTTTGAATACAAAAATTGCATAAATGTAAATATAAATTTAGTGACCATCTATTAGATTGCAATTTTAAAAGTCGTTTACTAAATATGATTTTTGTTGATACTGGACTAGTCTATTATTCACTCTCAATTACTGACCATACACTACAAATTCATTCAGAAGCAATTTATTTGGTCACATGACCAGTGATTAGCATATCCAATTTGATTACATGTAGCAATACATGTTCATAACAATTCAATTTGTGATCAGATAAAAGACAACAGACTTGCAGCCATCAGCTTGTTGGCCATATTTATCTTAGGCATGAAATAACATTTCCCCTAATTACAATGGGGACTGTGTCATTAATAATGAGTTTCACTGATATTTCACGAATCACTGGCAGAATTGAAATACAACTTGGTACACAGCTACTACTAGTATATCATGAACACCAACCTTGATTGGATTTTGGTATAAGGCTGCATGTTACTTAGGTAATGGAAGTTACTAACGGAAGGAGCCACGACGCTATTGTTTTAGCTTTACCCCATGATCATTTGTCAATGTTTGTTCACAAACATTGTTCTTGTTAGCGTTTAACACCTTCGTACAATGGGTTATGCTAATCTCGAGCATTCGGTAATATTCAGAGCATGTTCGGAAGCGATTGTCGTACCTCGCATGTACAATATTGAAAATGGCGAACTTTAATGGAAAATTGTCAGATGATTGAAGAAGAACTGATGAAATATCGTGAATTTTGTATTTGTAATGGTAATGAGAGTTAATCAATGATTGCTTGTGACGATTGCATTATTCAATGGTACCATTGTCAGTGCGTGGGTTTGGCACCCGAAACTGTCGTAAATTTTGACCACTGGACATCGGCGAACACCAACAGAAAAGATAGTAATGAAAGAAGAGCATGCCTTGACTCTTTCTCTGTGATAATATTTCTTAAGAGTCTTTAGGAATTGTTGTTGTAGGCACTCGAAATCTTGTTCTAGTTACAGATGCTAATAATTGAAACATGGGAAATTTGTGAAGTCAAACGTTTATCTGTTGAATTTCCGGTTGTGAAATATGTATTTTGACCTTTTACACCTAAACAAACCCAGTGCACATGTGTGATGACCGTAGTTTCATAATGCGCATATATTTCATAGTCACATTAAAAAAATGGCGGGGTTGTATCATACTCCGCTAACTCGTTACTTGTGGAAACAATCGCAAACTATCATCGACATCAAAGATGAGCTAGACAATGTCCTTATCAGGATTAATTTGGGTTGAACAAAAGGAAATAAGCCAGATAAGAGGCTTAAGTGGCCACTTGATAGGCTCCTTCTGTTAGAACCTTCCATGCTTAGGTGATTTGCATAATAATTAGTTTTAGTATGTTCATTGTGTATCTTTGCATCTGTTTGCACAAATGCATTGAAACTTGGCACATGATTGCTGTTTTTGTGGATAAATATCTAATAATGGTTTCTTATTAATCCTTTTTTCTCCCAGGGTATTCCCCTTTTTGTTGTTCAAGTGGTATTCTCAAATAGCTGGTGATATGCCTGAGTAGTTTGGCAGCCTCCTGCCGGACATAAAAATACTCATAGGGGACAAGGTTGAGTGACAGATACTATGAAAACATGATACTTGCCTGTCCCTAATTACTCTTCAGAGAAATAAGAAGGTTTAATAAAGTTCTTGTTGATCTTATATATGATGGAATATCATTAGACGAGTAATTACCCATGCAAAAAAAAATCCCCAAAATTTAAACCCTGGGAGTTATTTATGAAAATCTACCACTTGGTGGCGCCCTATACCCAGACAATTAGTTGTAGAAAGTGGCAACATACACACTCAGCATAACACCAAAATAGATGGTAGGCAATGAATATAAGCCTGATTATTAGATGCAGTACTGTAAAATATAATGTTCTCATCACCACAAACAAGTACAGACCAACGTTTGGCATGATTAGTAATTTTAATTAATTTCTAGAAATAATACATAGAATAATGACAATTAAAAGTAGTTTATCACTATAATTTAAAAAAAAAAAAAATTCTACTGAATCAAAAGTCTCAATTCATCAGCTCATTATTTCTCCAATTAATTAAAAACAAAAAAACAATTCCACGGTATCTGCATTTAGGCCGGAGACCTGTGACGGGCAACCTTGGATATACCAAAACACAACAGTGGTTTGATTTACCATGGCCACACATAGAATTTGCTCAACATAAAATACTTAATCAAATCTTATGTGAAAAAAAGTAGTTCAACGAAACAATTTTATGATTTAAAAAGAAATAAAAATAAAAATATACAAACAAGAAAAGGATCTAAATATAAAATACTTGTATTACACATCCCTGATCAAATTAAATTCAAATCAACAGGATTTCTGATTAATTGGGGGGGGGGGGGTACATGCACTGTTCAATAATAAACTCAAGATGGGATTAATTAGCTAACTATCACAAAAATTCTGAGAAAAGAGCAATAATTGTGAAATTGAAAGAGTTTTAATACTTGGCTAATATACTGACAGTATGCAAATCTCTTGTCAGTGACAAGATACACAACACAATTTTAAGAATTTATTTGAATAATTAGGATTTTGACCTCATTAAACTTTGAATAGGGTACATTAGAAATTACCGCACTACAAATTGTTAAGTTTGTCTGCCATAATGTGAAAATAAGACATTGAAATTAGTGGTGACATGAATAATTCATTGATGAATGAATAACATTTTTGGACCAGTTTAATAAAAACATTTATATTTACAGACCACAGCCCAACCACAGCCAATTAATAAGATTAGGGCAAAAAATATACCGAATTACAAATTTTCAAAATCTTCAACCAAGATATAAGAGATTGACAGAAATGGGTGAAACGCATAGCAAAATATGACATTTCTGGATAAAAAATTACTCCATTGTGTCTAAATAGTTGAATACAAAGCAAGAAAAGTGGTAAAATAAAAATAAAAAAGATTCCCAGTTACTTTGCACTATACCTGCCAAATAAATGGAGCTGATCTCATGAAATGTGTGCTTGAACACACAACCTCATAATTATCAGATCTATGCAAGGTCAGGAGAGGTCAAAACTTATAATAATTAGGTCAAAATAAAACTTTGGTTATGTGATCTGCCAAAAATGACTAAATTCCAGTGAATAGAGCCATAATTATGGTCAAAACAACAACCTCAGGTGGTCCTAGGCAAACTGTTACTTCAGGGCTCATACCACTAATTGAATTTCCATAGACGACAATGTTAACATATGACGAGATTGCTATATGAAAATGACGAAGAAAGTTGAAAATATGGCTCAAAAATGGGAAATCAACATGCCAGTAATCAACCATATGAAAAAAACTAACATGTTGGCCAGCTCAAACTCTTGCAAATCTCAGGTAAACAAGACACACCGACTGTATTTGGATTGCACCAAGAGAAATCACTGGAAAAACACCAAGATTAGAACATCCAAATACACACAGAATAAACCCAGGTACACAGCTGCTAAGTAGTAAACAAAAGACCACATGTTGGTCTCACCTCTGACCCCGGTGATTACGCCCTCAAACAGGGAGCACCTGAGAAAAAAAATATTTAAAAAATTTCATTGGTTCTTGCTAGGCATTTAAGTGCTACGAGCAGCCATTGGTTGATTAGTGGCATGAGACCTTATAGTGTAACATGGGGGTGGCATGTACTACCATCAATGAAAGACAGTTTGGCCAGCTGTGTGCAATCATTAGTATTTGAAAACTACTTAATATGTACATATTTAATTAAACTTTGGTTTTGACTATGCAGATTTGACAAACATAAACAATTGTGCATACTGTTCAGTGCTTTAAAACCTCATAAATATTGATGACTGAATAAAGTGTAATATTCTAATTGTAGGTCATCTGCAAAGTTGGCAGTGAATCAGTGAGCAAGTTTGTTAACTTGCTGCCCCAATACTTCTGAAATGTGCTGTAATTGTAAATTTTGATAAATACAAAGAAATGTCTTGCCTTTTCCTCACATTTTGTGAAATTATATGCTTCCTTGTTTTAAAGGAGCAAGAGCAGTTTTTTTGTAAACTCTTTTGAATTCGTGTACTGAGCAATTAATACATTTGTGGTAATGAGTAAACACAAAGGTAATAGTATTTTTCATAATTTCAGATAGTTGTGAATACATTATACAAGTACCAACCCAGAATCCATATTATTCGAGAGTCTGATTTTGAACTAATCAAGAAAAAGTTCCCGGAAAATCTTGGACCTGAGTATAGAAATCTTGTTAAGACATTTGTATTTCCGGAAACACAGTTCTATGCAGTGACTTCTTACCATAATCATCGGGTAAGTGTTTTCCATGATTTATACATTTGTATATTACTATACACTACATTCATAAACACATCATGATCTGTCACTGTATAAATTTGTGAATTTTTGAGCTTGAGTTCAATAGATGATTTAATAAAAATAAAAATTTCAGTATTCTGAGACTGATCCTGTTTGGAAATTTGATGTTTTTACTCCTGACTCAAAATTCATCAAAATTATCAGATCATAGTATTGTATAGCAGTCTAACATAAATCTTGTAGCAGTCTGACATAAATCTTATAGCAGTCTGACATAAATGTTATAGAA